GATTAGTAAAATATGTTAATTTATGGAGATAGTGAAACACAAATGCCTAGTTACTATTGGTTTGGCTTTGGATTAGCTTATGTTTCAGAGTTTAATTTTATCAACATACATATTAAAGATAAGCAAACTAAGTTAAGCAAAAGCTTGGAATATTTCTCCATTATTTTGTTTTTTTTTTTTTTAGTACCAATTCCTTACTAATTAGTTGAATTAATCTTATAAATCGAGGATAATGATGTAAAAATGATGTTACATTTTAGTTTTTCAATACTTTTTTTTTGTATTTTCTTTAACTTAATTAAAAATATAGGATTATTTTTATGTAGTATTAAAGTGAAATTTTTAAACTTTTTTTTAGGGGGAAAAAAAAAGAAATATTTTAGGATCATTCTATAAATGGCATGTACATTGAATTATTGTTATAAGTACTTTTTCTGATAAAATGAACTTTGGAAAGTGTATACTCCGTATTTCTCTAATAGAGCTAAGGTCTTTACATCTTCTTCCAATTAGTGCCTAGGCTATAAAAGACAGTACATCTCTTTCTTGTCTTTTCATTTCTGAAAGATTCTTCTGCTTCTTCTCCCCTTTATTTCTTTTTCTGAATATTTTCTTCTCTCTTATAATGGCAAACAATGGCGCCTCTTCATCTTCCTTTGTTGGCAATTCTCGTAGCCAAGAGTTGGCTGATTTGAGTGATAGGCTTAGGAATTCACAGCAACGTAGGGATGAACTGGAGGGGATTTTATATAGCTTGCGAATTACGATGCAGCAAGTGGAAGCTCGAATAGCAAACACAAGGAGAATAATTGAACAAGAAGCAGCAGCTGCTGCTGGTGCTGTTATGGTTGGAGAGGTACAACAGGGCGAGGAAGAAGTGCAGGTAGAGGCCGCGGTGGAGGTGGAAGAAGAACATGTTGTTGCAGAGGAGGAGGAGGGAGATTCAGAAGAGGGAGATTGAGAAAATGTGTCTCGCTTTTAATGAAGTTTTTTTATCTGTTTGAAAGTATAAGTTATGTAGTTGCTGGATTTTGATGGTTTAATAAGTTGTTATATTTGCTTAGTAATAGTTGCTTTTTTTTATGGTTTGATGGTTTAAGTTGTAATTTTGATGGTTTCTATTTGTTTGGTAGAAATCAGTATGAATATTATAGTATGTTAAGCTATGTTTACTTAATCATAATCTCCAAATGGCAATCTGTCTTTTTCAATTTTTACACCTTATACGAAACAATAGCCTTTATCAGATAATTTTCTATTCTAATTTATAAAAATCATAGGTTATTCCACATCAGAGACTTCTTGTATTTACTACCAGGCAAGCTAAAAGCTATTGAAAATAATTTAAGTTCATTGGACTAATGAAACACTTTGATTGAAGACAGGTTTGAAGTTAAATGTTTTCTAGCAAATCACCATAATGAATACCATCCCATATTCCTATGTAAACTTCAGTAACTTATGTGCTAATTAAGATCTTGGATTTCACTAAGTCAGCACTAACAAATCTATCAAATTTGTTTGCTTGAATGAAATTAATCTAACAGATTATAAAGGTATTTCTCCTTTGTATGTTGTTTGATAAAGTGGTGTAAATGATTTGGTCAAAGCTAATTAGTAAGAGATTATTGTAGTTTTGGGGCTAGCTAAGAGTCTACATTGAGAAAATCAGATAAATTACTTGAGATTTGGGGTTTTGATCTTGAAGATACCAAACTAATTAGGGAGAGGTTTTATACAAATCATATTTATAATGTATTAAATAAATCATGATCACCATAATAATCTTTTATATTATCAAGAAAATTAAACAATATTATCGAAATTAAAAACTACAAGATTGGAGAATAGTTCAATATATGGTAGAAAATTTGTAGCAATATGAAATAAAATGTCATTGAACGTTCCTTTAGTAAACAAAATATGGATTTATATAATTAAAATGAGCACCACTTTGGATAATTGAAAAAGATAGTTAATTAAAAAGGAAATTAAGGTGGCAACATAAATAATTTGTATGAGTGTTTAAATATAATAGAGGAATTATACATAAGATGTCATTCGTCCTAACCCCTCCACTCCCAATTCTATTTATTTGTAATTTTATGTGCTAACCAAGAGACTCCCTCCTTCATATTCTTATAAATAATTTGTAAATGCTCTTGCTTTAATTAGTTTAATTCTATATTTATTTTTTTTGGTGACAACATAAATAATGTTATTGTGAGGTATAATGGGGCTAAGTATGATTGCACACTTTTTGGTAAGGTGGTGTTGCTAGTTAGTGAGACCAGAAGTGTGATTTCTATTGGCTAATTTGTAGGTTTTTTTAGGTAATTATGAATAAATTGAGATTAATTAAAGAACGTACATGTTGATATATTGAATTGCATTTAAAATTAGTGATAACCTATGGTAGCTTCATGGCATAGAATAGCTTCACTATTTGTAAAATCTTTATAAAAAATGTGTTGGTGTAGTAACATCTGGGGTTAGTGTATAAATCACATGCAATAGAGCAAGAGTGTGTCTTCGTGTTGAGATTTGATAGCCTTTAATTAATGCCCTTGATAGAATGTCTTGATACTTTATTGCCTACAATTGAAGTACTCAAGATTAATTATTAAGGAATTAAGGTATAGAGTACAAATCATCTTACTCTGAGGTTATAGAGATTGTTATTTTGTTGTTAATATATCAATATTTATTTAAAAAAACACAAAATTAATATGTTAATTATATAGAGTACAAATCATTGTACTTCAAATTAATTTGAACTTAACAATGTATGGCTTATCCGAAATCGGTACGACTAATTAATGATCCTTGGTGAACATTATTAAATGGTAACATTGTATAATATTTTACCTTATAAAATTCAATAAGAAAAGAATTTTAGTTGTAGCCAATTGTAAATTACAAAATATTTGATGTACGTACTAAAAATTGGAATAGAATAAAAATTTTGTTAGGAGTATAAAAGGGCTCTTTTAGAAAAAATTTTGGGTGCATATTTCCATCTATAGATAAACTACTATTCTATGACATTAAACTGAAGATTCTATTATTGCATACTGTAGCCTATAAAGAGCCAGAACATAGAACCTATTAATCTTCCTCCATTAGATTATCACTCAACTTTCTCTTTATCTCTCATCTTTATACTTCTCTTTACCCTAGATATTTTCATTTTCTGTAAATTGATCTAAGCTTAAAATGGCTAACAATGATGGTGCCTCTTCATCTTCATCAAAAGCTTTTATAAGTGCCCCTCATGGCCGTCCTAGGTGGCTTCAACTGAGTATGCATCGTTCACGACTTAGGGCTTTACAAGCTTGTAGGGAGGCGTTTCAGAGAGAAGCGGAGCAGGTTGAGGCAGAGCTCGAAAATGAGAGGAGGAGGATGGTGGAGAGGAAGCTGCTGCTGCGATGGCTAGGAGAGGTCTGGTGGAGCAGAGATATGGGGTGGCTCCAATGGAGATTGAGCAGATCCAGGGTATAGTAAACGCTGAAGCTGAGGGGGAGGAGGGTGATCAAGAAGCTGAGGAAGGAGCGGAGGATGTAGAAGGTGAAGAGGAGGAGGAAGATGATGAGGGTGTTGAAGGAGAAGAGGAAGGTGAAGAGAATTCAGAGGAGGAAGACAGTGATGCCTCAGAAAAGGAAGAGTAGAAGGATGCAGAGGTGGCCCCAGAGGACGATGATCAGGCTAGCTTAGAGGAGGATGATCAAGATGACTCTGATAGCTCCTATGACGGCGGCAACGAAGATGATGACTTTGTTGAAGGCTATAAGTCTGCTGATTCTGCAGAAGACTCTGCTATGTATGGCCTCAACTTGTCTCATTATGAACAAATTGAATGAAAGCCTAGGTTGTTGCTGGTTTTTGTTGGCTGAAATTGCATGGAAGTGTAGGTTTTTTTGCCTATGTAGGTAGCTGGTAGTTTTTGGTGCCTTAATTTGTATGATAGTATATAGGCTGATTAGTGCTGAGCTTGGTATATATTAGCATGAATTTCATAGTAGTGTAATTATAAAGTGTAAGAATGTCATGTAATTGCTTATTTAAATGACAATGAAAAATATATATTTCTATATCTATTTTAGCTATAAATTATGGTATCTGTTGTTAAGCTTCTAATGCTGTTTTCTTTTTTTGCCTAAGTCTAAATTAAGTATTTTCTGAATTGTGTATCATTATAGTATTATCATTCTTATATATACTTAGTTTGAAAGTTTCTGAATATATTGAATCATGCTAATATTTTCAGAAATAATAAAGTAGTTTTTGAATTGTGTATCATGGTAATACTAATTTATGAAATTATTATCATTCAATATAATAAGTAGTTTTTGAATTGTGTATCAACATATATAATAATTTCAATATAATAAAGTAGTTTCTGAATTGTGTATCATGCTAATAATTTAGTATTATCATTCTTATTACATCATTCATAAGATTTTCAGCATCATCATTTAGAATAATTTCCAGCATGCATATGACTTATAGCAAGTTTTAATTAAATCACAGCTAAATTATTAGCATGATAAACAGAAAGCTATAATCTATACTATTAGCTATATTAATTTAGCATGCATAATTTTATAGAAAAACACAATTAGCATTCTAAGATGGTAGCTTTCAGTAAACAAGTAAGTAAGAGGGAAATTCATAGAATAATTAAGTAGTTAAAAAGCTTAGATTAATGTGGTAATGGATGACCGAGGTTTGTAAATTTGTCCAAAATTACAACCAAACAACTTGTTTTAAGACATCATAGAGATGAATATATCATTCATTGTAGGCTAAGATAGCTTAGAAGAACCACTTGTTAGCTAAGCAGCACAATAGTTACAAGCAGTGCAATACCAAAAGGATCAGTAGAGGAATATAAGATAAGAATCGCACTGCTTGCTAAGCAAACCTCCATCTAGTTACTCCATTGAGACAGACTTGAGAGCCCACCTCAGAGCTCCCACCCTGCTCAACATGTTAGCTGGTCAAACACAAAAGTAAGCCTCCGTAGTGGACAGTCTAGCTGCTGCTTCATCAAAGCCATCCCAGTGTTCCTAGCAAGGTAGTAGATTTTAGTAAGTTCATAGCTTGTTATGTATTAGACTTGTAAGTCTTAGGTGTATGAGTTACTTACAACAATTACTTTGCTGTATATGTCAGCAAGTTTCATGCCAAAGAGCTTCTCACACTCTGCTCCAAAAGCTGCGAGCTTTAATTCCCCTGTTCCATCAGTTATGGTGAAGGTGTAGTTCACCCTGCATGAAACAATATTATAGTTAGCTTTTAATTAAGACATGTGCTTGTTATTGTCATCACAAGAATATAGCTACCTAGCAGTGGTTGTGCAGACTTTGTTTGGGCAGCTGGAACACTTAAAGGTCTCACCAGCCAGTTCTTCACAACGGCAGCCACAGTTGTCGCAGCCTATGTAGGCAATGATTTTTCTCACATCAGGTTCAGGGATTTTTGCTTTGAGCCATATACGTTCTTCTTGCATTGTATCAGTAAGCTGCAGTGATAAATATCAAATTCAATAATGCAAATGCTATAGATTAGAGTAGAAAATACAAGTCACAAGTGTAATGTTTGTGAACCAAAACCTTTTTCAGTTTAAGTTCACCAATAGTAGTTATTATTCTCTCCACGGGTGGTTCACGGATTAGCAGAACTTTAGCCATTAGCTCATTTATGTAAGGTTTTTTGTCCCTACTCCTGTTGAGAACAGATACTAAGTAAGTATTATAGCTAAATGAATGTTGTAAATGTTAGTTATATATATACAGTGGCTTACCATTTCTTGAGATGTTCTGCTGTATCTCCTGAAGACCCAAGTATGATTAATGTAGACATAGAGGATGATAGTGAGAAGCCTGTGGTTTCAGGAATTTTCTGAAGTGTTATCATAGGAACCTATTTAGTGTCACCCTAAAAAATAGAAGTGCAGTAGAACCTCTTACCATTGTGAGCTGTTGGGCGCATGTAGGTAAAACCAGCAATGAGTGGGATTGATGCCCAAGCAGCTAATTTTTCGCAGCCATCAATAGCAAGCCCTCCCCAAAGAGAAAGTATTAGAGGTTGATATATACTGCATGTTAATTATTAAATTAGGGGTTTATTGAAGCAAAAAAGTGTGAGCATAAATAGTGAAACCCACATTTGCTTGTACGAATTATATAAGCGAAGCATTTTGCTTTTCAAATCCACACTTTTAATAATATTTATGCTTTGGATCTAAATGGAGCAAAATAAGCATGTTCAAAACAATAGGTTGTTCAAGTATTATACTATAGACTACCATTTCAATTGGGTCAACTAATGAGGAATGTGTGTTAGTAATTAGATATCTATGTGTAAGAATATACCTATCATCAGTGATCATAACCTCACGAACATCCATTGAAGCCCCTGATGCAGTCTTGATCTGCCTAACTTGCTCCATGTATAGAATTACTCCAATGGCATCTGCAAGCAACAAATTAAAGTAAGGGTAGCAGGGCAATAGTATATAAAATTACTTAAGCAGTAGCACTTAAGCAGAAGCAGTTAAGTAGATACCGAAGCGTTCACTCTTAGAGCTGGTGCGCGGAATAGAAGCAATTGGAGTATACTTAGGAAGCACAGGTCCTGCTTCAGATTGAAGGGGCTGGATAGATGTGTTCCCTCCAAAGGTCATCTGGCAGTCATCTTCCCTTGTTTTCCATTTCTCATCAACAACTCTTAGTGGAGCATTTGCAATTTCATACTCCCTGCCTAGCTCAAGGATTCCCTTGAAGCTATGAACTTCATTTTCAAACAAAGTTCCACGAATGCGATTTCCCTTAAGCAATAAGAATAACAAAAATAATTAAATCCAGTTTGGGTTGTCTTATAAACAACTTGTACAGAATTCTAACCCAAAATAAAATAGCAGTATTTGCAACAAACCTCACTGTCCTCTAGCTTTAGCAATTGATATAGAGTTTTGTTAGGAGATAGCTTTGGTTCTGCCTTCTCAATTACTCTTGCCCGAACTTTGTATGCCTTATTTTGTGGAGTCAAATTGCCAATGGGAGTATATTCAGGCTTCATCTACACATTGTGTTGAATATATTATTAGTTTAGGCTTGTAAGTAATCAAGAATAGACAAATTTTTCCTAAGTCTAAATCTTTCTACAGGGAACTATAGCATAAGATTAGTTGATTATATGAATTAACATGTTGCTATCTAAGTAAGTACTGTTTGTTTTATTTACCTGACAATAATAGATGGTATTAGGTCCTAACTGATTAACCATGAGCATACTCTAAAAGAACACATTGTACAATATTAATTCCTTAGTAGCAGTAACAGGACATGAGTACAAAAAATTACATATTTATAATTTAAGCACCATTGAAATTACAGTTTAAGGGCGTGATTCTTATGAAATAAGAATCAGTAGAGGAATATTTAATTTCATTTGGAGACTACATAGACTGCAATGTTCAAAAGTACAAGACCATATTAATTAAGTCAAATAAGTTCATATTATGATGGAGTATTTATTTTACTACTGAAATGGTCATTTATTCTTCCTATTTCTTTTGTGCTGATTATCTATTTATCATTGTGGACTTGTGGTGGTTATAACCTTATATTCTTCTCTTAATGTATGCATAATAGTAAAGATGTGGCATATAATTAAGCAACTGATTTATAAATGCAATGCTCAAAATATGCAAAATAATTACTATATTATACCAAACTTATGCTAGCATAATAAAAGAATTCAGGTAAGCATTAAATTCTAAATGAAGAGGTAAAGAAGTACCTTCAATGGAGTTCCTCAGTAATTTTCCCTTATTTTTTCTTTTCTCCAGAGAATGCAGGTGATAGTAGTGAGAGAGTGCTTTGTATATACCCAAATATATAGCCAAGCAATGACTATTAACCAGCAGGTAAAACAATGGGTCTATATTTTGTAGACCTAGGGAAGTGATACTTAGGTAAAACAAAAGAAGTAGAACGATTTGACTGTGCTTTTTCTTGTGATAGGAATAAGCACATCTATTCTAGTGATTTAAGAATTAATTGGTAGCTACTAAACTAATGTGCATTGAGCTAAGGAATTATTAGTTGCTATCATCTGCTTGCTTCCCATTACAACCTTATTTATTATTTTTTTTTTCCAGAAGTTGTAAGCATAGCTTTTTCTGTGATTTATAAGCACCTGTGAAACCTGTTTTATTATTGAACATTGGGAGCTGGAATCTCTTCTTTTTTGTTACAATTGTGTTCACCTTTATTTGTTGGGTTAAAGAAAATTCTATAATTTTTTTTTATATTTTTTTTGTAATATTGTGTGGGCTGTTTTTATATTGCTTATAAATAGACTTGCTCTTAGGAGGCCTCTTTATCAATGTTATCTGGATGAGGGCTTCATGTAACACTGAACAATCAATAATCCCAACCTTAAAACTAAGAACAAAATTCTCTACAGGCAATCAAAATAGATTTTATAAGTAGTTCTAAATAGGTAAAATAAAATAATATTTGATTATGCCAATAGACCCTTTGGCAACCCTCCTTTTAAAATTCAATATTACGTTCATATGGTTAATGGTATTGTAACATTTACACACTTTTGAATAGCCTAGGCTGTTTCAACGGGTTCTAATCTGCTTTACTTTGCTGGACTACATGCCATAGACATTGCTTATAATGGTTTCATTAAGCTGGACTATGTTTGTGCTAGTAGCCAAAGAGCTTTGCTTTTAGCATGCCTCTTTGTCTGATACTGTCTAACACTAGTAGAAAAATTGCATTTAGCACCCCCCATATGGCACCGGTTCAGCCCAAACCGGTGCCAAAAACCGGCCCAAAATTGGGCGGGATTTTAAACAAAGGGAAAAGGCACCGGTTCAACTCAAACCGGTGCCAAAAATGTAAAAGGCACCGGTTTGAACCGGTGCCAAATGAACCGGTGCCTCATTTAAAAAAAAAAGCGCGTCGTCTTTCTTCCTTATTCTTCCTTCTCTTTCTCTTTCATTTCATTTTCGCCGTTCAATTATCTTCTTCACTATTCCATTCTCTAAACCCCTCACCTCACCGCCGCAACAGTCGCCGGCCACCATCACCGCCGCCACCCTTGGCCTTCTCTTTCTCCCCTGCCATTCTCTTCTCCCCTGTCGTGGTGTTTCTCCCCTCAGCTCAACCCCCTCCACGCCGACCTCATCTGTTCGACGCCGCACCACCGCCCTGCTGAAGGTTGCCGCCGCACCACCTCCCTGCTGTAGGTTGCCGCCGCACCACCTCCCTGCTGAAGGTTGCCGCCGCACCACCGCACCACTGACCACCCGCACCACTGACCACCGCACCACTTCAATTCAATTTGAGTGTTTTAGGTATAATTTTTTTTTATTCTCAATAATTTCCCATTTATGAACTTATATTAATTTGTTTTGCATGTTGAAGAATTGTTAGGCAAATTAAAATTTAGGTTAGAATATAATTTAACTTCAATTTGTTTCAATAATTGGTTTTTTTATTGGGAAATTGTGAAAATATTAGAAATTAATAACTTTGTTACTCATTTAGTTGGATATTAGTATGTTTTAATGGTTAGTTTAATTTGTTTTGATGTGTAAGTAGAGAATATTAGCCTTGTTACTTAATTAGTTGAATTTTGGTTTGGTATAATGGTTAGAGATTAGTAACCATTTTAGTTTAGCAATTTTGAATAATTAAAATGAAAAAAATTAGAGATTAGTAACCTTTTTAGTTTAGCAATTTTGAATAAAAAAATGAATTTTGAACAAATTAAAGTAGTGAATACATAGTTTAGCAATTGTTAGTTCGATGAATGATGTGTTTTAGCTTAGAAATAAATTAGTGAATTGATATGTTATGAGAAGTACATACATAATATTTAACCTAATTTTTGTTTTTTTTTGTTTTTTTAATAAATAGATTCATATGTGAATTGAAGCAAGAGTTTAATTAGCTTGAGGACTACATATTGAGCTCAAGTGGGTAGTTGCTATATTGGTATGACTACTAAACTTTACTTAGTTATATTTCTTTCTATTCATCCATTTAATAAAAGTTTATTCATGAAATTGCAACTTGTGTATTGTTTAATTGCAAATAAATACAACAATATATAGAATACTTGAATTGCATCATCATATGCCTAGATACCCGTTCAAGGCTTTCTCATTAGGAGAAAGTCTTGAATAGTCCCCGGTTGGGACTGTTCTTGAATGTGTACACTCACTTAGGTGGTGAATGTATGTTTTCTTTTCGATTTTAAGGAACATCTCGGCTTACCATTTCCTCACTATGTTCTCTGGGTACATATGTGGGTAATTAATTATCTACATCGTGTACTTGGAGAACTAGGGGGAGATGCTGCCGGATTTTCCTTAAAATTGGAAAGTTGACATACATTCACTAGTGAGAGTAGACATTCAAGGATGGGTTAGGTTGGAGTGATAAGGACCCTTTGGAAACATGCATTTTTTCACTATATGAATGGTATATTCACGTTTTGTACTTGAATTTGATTTACATAAAATATGTAGCACTTACACATTATAATTATATGGTGCTATATATATGTTTAGAGACAATTTACTAAATGGAGAAGGATCGTGGTTGGATGTATGGTAGACGCGATACATTGGAATTTTGGAATGGGGTTCAAGAGTTTTGCGAGAGGACTTTAGCTTATCAACACACACTGGGAGGCAAAGGCCTTTATTGTCCTTGTGTTGATTGTAATTGTGTGAATGTGGTCGATAGTGTTGAAATCATTAGAGATCATGTATTATGTCGTGGGTTTAGGCAATTTTACCATGTGTGGATTTGGCACGGAGAAAGTGGAGAGTACAGTGGGGATCTTAATCGGAATGATGTGCGTCTTAGAAGCACTGAGATTCATGTGGACGAGGAATACGAGAATGATGAGTATATTGTTGATAATGGTGAGGATGGAGCCGATGAAGATCAGGCGGATGAGGTCGAGGATGAACAAGTGGATGAGATGTTGCAAGGTGTTGAAGGTGAAGTGTTTGAATTATTATCGGAGGCTTCCAAAAAGCCTTTGTATCCCGGGTGCAAAAAATACTCCAAACTATCGGTCGTGCTAACACTTTTCAACATTAAGTCGAAGCATGGGTGGACGGACATCAGTTTTACTTCTTTGTTGACCGCATTAAGTGATATGTTGCCTGATGGGAATGAAATTCCTAAGTCTTATTATTACGCAAAGAAGCTCATGTGTCCCTTTGGTTTGGAGTATAAGAAGATACATGCATGTCCTAATGACTGTATTTTGTATCGAAATGAGTATGAAAAACTGCAGGAGTGTCCACGATGCAAGCGGTCGCGGTACAAGCGCATGAGTTGCAATCCTGGCACGGAGGGACCTCCTGCTAAGGTGTTGTGGTATCTTCCCATTATTCCAAGGTTTAAGCGTCTGTTCTCAATACCAAAAGACGCTAAAAACTTGAGGTGGCATGCAGAGGGAAGAAAGAAAAACAGAATGCTGAAGCATCCAGTTGACTCTCCACAGTGGAAGAACATTGATTTGAAGTTTAAGGAATTTGGTAATGAAGTCAGAAATTTAAGGCTTGGGTTGTGCACGGACGGGATGAATCCATTTGGCACTCTTAGTACCCAACACAGCACATGGCCGGTACTTTTAGTGATTTATAATTTGCCTCCTTGGCTGTGCATGAAACATAAGTATGTAATGCTTTCATTGCTAATAACTGGTCCTAAGCAACCTGGAAACGACATAGATGTTTACCTTGCGCCGCTTATTGACGACTTGAGAAAGATGTGGGACGAAGGGGTTTTCGTTTTCGATGCTCATCAGAACGAGATGTTCACATTGCGTGCAACCCTTATGTGGACCATGAATGACTTCCCTGCATATGGCAACTTGTGTGGGTACAAGGTCAAAGGGAAAAAAGCATGACCCATATGTATTGATGACACATCAAGCGTATACCTGACTCATTCTCACAAAGATGTGTACCTACGGACTCGAAGGTTCCTTAGGCGTGATCACCCGTACCGTAGGCAGAAAAAGGCTTTCGATGGAACCGTGGAAGAGGATACTGCGCCTAGACCATTGACTGGTGCTGAGATTAGTGCTCGGGTGAAAGGGATACAAACGGTGTTTGGAAAATCAGAAAAAACTGTGGTCTCAGCTGCTCTGTTTAAGAAAGAATCAATCTTTTGGAAGCTGCCGTACTGGAGAGAACATGACGTTAGGCATTGTCTTGATGTGATGCATATAGAGAAGAATGTGTGTGATGCTCTTTTTGGGACGCTTATGAATATCCCAGGAAAAACAAAGGACGGAAAGGGTGCACGGTTAGATTTGCAAGAGATGGGGATTCGTCTAGAATTGTGGCCTCAAGAAAAGGTCAAAAAGGGAAAGGAGTCGAGAATAGAAGATGAAAGTGTTTCGAAAAAAGGGAAGGAGAAGAGCAAGGGAAAGGGAAAGGCCAAAGATGCGTCAAAGAAGAAAGTTAAGGGTAAAGGGAAGGATGAAAAGAATTATTTACCCCCGGCTTGCTATACATTGTCAAGGGTAGAGAAACGTATGTTTTGTGCATGTTTGTACGACATTAAGGTTCCATCAGGGTACTCATCTAACATGAAAAGATTTGTAACCTTAAATGGAGAATTGAAGCTGACAAGTATGAAATCCCATGATTGTCACAGTATGATGCAAGTATTCCTACCGATTGCAATCCGTGGTATTCTATCGAAACACGTGAGGGAAGCGATTACAAGCCTTTGTTCGTTTTTCAATACAATTTGTAGCAAAGTTCTTGATCCTTGTACACTAGATGCTTTGCAAGCTGATGTGGTTGTGACTTTGTGCAAATTTGAGATGTATTTCCCACCCTCATTTTTTGACATAATGGTTCATCTGGTTCTTCATTTGGTGCGTGAGATTAAGTTGTGCGGTCCAGTGTTCATGAGGTGGTGCTACCCTTTTGAAAGACACATGGGTATATTACAATATAAAGTACGGAACCGAGCTCAACCTGAAGGAAGTATAATGCAAGGGACAGTGGGTGAGGAGATAGGTAACTTTGTGGCGGACTACATAGCCCTTGCTCAACCTATTGGTCTTTCTACTTCTCGACATGAAGGTAGACTTGATGGTCATGGCACAATTGGGTCAAAACGAATGTCACCAGACCGAGATCAGTTCTTACAAGCACACCTTTATGTGTTGCACCATGTTTCAGATGTGCACCCATATTTAGACGAGCACATGGCTTGTTTGTGTGCCGAATTTCCATCCAAAGGTGAAAGGGCACTTATGAAGTTGCATAATAAGAAATTTGTTGATTGGTTTCGTGAACGAGTAATGAGTGGATTGAATGATACTAATGTGACCGATACAGTACGGTGACTTGCGTACGGTCCTAGGGATGATGTCCGTTCATTTGAGGGATATGACATCAATGGGTACACTTTTTGGACCGAGGCTCGTGATTTGAAATCTTCCTCCACCCAAAACAGTGGTGTAACTCTTGTGGCATCGTCAAGGGAGTTTGCAAGTTCTAAGGATAAATCACCTGTCGATGCAGAGTTGTCATACTATGGTCGAATTCAAGAAATATGGGAGCTTGATTATTGTGACTTCACGGTTGCTCTTTTCAAGTGTAAGTGGGTTGATAATATCAGGCGAAACGTCAAACATGAGGACTTTACTCTTGTAGATCTTGGCCACTTGAATGTTAGTGCGGAACCATTTATCCTTGCATCTCAAGCTAAGCAAGTGTTCTACGTAACTGACCCAATGGATTCAAAATGGTCTATAGTGCTAGCTGGCAAAAGAAGAATCCTAGGCATTGGAGATGTTGAGGATGAGGAAGAATATGATGCGTTTGATGATTCAACACCTTTCACTGTTCCTAGACCTAGAGTACTAAATGACATAGACAACGAAGCAGGTTATATGCGATCAGACCACAACGAAGGAATTTCAGAATGAGGTAGTTTGATTAAAAGTTAGTAATGGTTTCATTGCAAATAATGATTTAGTTATCATGTATATAGGAGCATAAGTAGGCGAAAATGATATATTTGTAGTTTGAAATTGCCTAAGTGTACTCATTATCATGCATATACAAGGTTATAGGACCATAAGTAGGTGAAACTGGCATAAATAGCTTCTACTTAACCCAACTCCTTTGTTTTGTGTATGAACTAACATTTATTCATTCTAACAACCTATTTTCCATATGTAGATTGAAATTGGCATTTTGTACTCATTATCATGCATATACAAGGTTATAGGACCATAATAAGTAGGTGAAAATGGCTAAAATAGCTTCTACATAACCATAATAACTATCATGCATATACTTTACTATACACTAATATTGTTTTATGATTACTTTGACAGGTGCTTATATCTCATGGCGGACGATCATGATCCTCGTTTGGTAGAGGACATTGACGATGATGAGTATGAGGACGAGTACGAGGATGACGACTCCGATGATAGTGATTCTCCTTATGATGTGAATTACCTTGTCTATTGTGAACTTATGTAGGGAGCATTGGAGCCTCATGGTGATTTGTAATTCCACTAACACAATTTATCACCTTGATTCAGCTCGTTCATCGGAGAAGTGGCTCGTGAAGTCTATATTGCAAAAGTAAATATATATAGCAACCTATAGTGATGATTATTGCTAATAATAACTAATTTAGTAATCATACGACTAATCAAATTTGATTGTATTTTTTTATACTACAGTGTTATGAAGAAGCTACATTGTCATGCTCCAAAGGGTCCAACATGGAAGACACCGTTGGTAATTTACATGATATTATTGTGATTATCTTGAAAATCTATGGTAGTAAATATTTGCTCATTTCCTTTGCATGTTTCACTGATGTGATTTGTTTGTCATATGCTAGTGCGCACAACAAGAGAATGGACTTGATTGTGCTTTGTATGTGATGAGATTCATGCTTGACATTGTGACTCATTGTACGGACACTCAACAGCTTGATGAGGTAAGTCCTAAAACTTCTTGAAATGCTATATTGATGTGATTTCACGCCTTAGACACTTAATATTACCCAACAATGGCATGTTATGAGAAACAAAAAAGCTATTTCACAAGAAAGGTAGAAAATGGGCTGAATAGAAGTCATATGGACCATGTTAGGGCCATTTTGTGTTAATATGCTCTTTTGATGTGATTTCTTTCCTTATACACCTATAACTAGATAATATTGACATGTTATGAGATAAATAAAGTTCATTTAATAAGAAATGTAGGAAATGGGCAAAGTAAGGTCATATAGGCCATATTCGGGCCATTTTGGGTAAAAACCGTCATAAACCTTAATAAAATGCTCTCCTATACAATTTTAGGGCTTACACACATACAACTATCCAATATTGAAATGTTATGAGAAAGAAATAGTTCATTTGATAAGTAATGTAGTAAATGGGCTATATAGAAGTCGTATAGGTAATATTTGATAAAATACATATTTTTTGCCTAATTAATTATTTTTAAAATAATGTTTTTGTATTTCAAGTTTTGCAAGGTCCAAAAGGATGGTCCGTTGACAATCAAGGAGCTTAATGAAGTTCGTGACATGTTGGCGTCTTTCATCACCTTCAACATGTAAATGGCATGCATTGTAATTGTAAATTATTTATGTTAACTTTTGAACTATATATAACTTATTATTCATTATATATGTGTACTTACTACTATTTGTATATGTAAGCAACTTTTTTTTTTTTTTGTATTGCGTTTGGGAATATTTATATCTATATATATATAATTGAATTCTTGTATCTAATATTATTTTTGTATATAATAATAATAATATTATTATTAGTTATTATAATAATAAATTATTAATTATTATATTTAATATAATTGCTGGAATTACAGGGTATTATTATTGCAGGTTTTTTTAAAAAAATATTATTGCACGATGGAAAAAAAAATTATACAAAAGGCACCGGTTAGGCAGGAACCGGTGCCTAAACTATCCACCACCCAAAAAAAAATGGCGGGAGAGCAGTATTAGGCACCGGTTAACCGGTGCCTATTCTACCCTATGGCACCGGTTAACCATTGCCTATTAAACCCTATGGCACCGGTTTTGAACCGGTGCCAAATAGGGGGTTTTTGGCACCCCTCAAATAGGCAAAGGTTCAAACCGGTGCCTTAGACCGGGTTTAAACCGCTGCCTAATGCGTTTTTTCTACTAGTGTAAGGTTTTCTGAAGTGTTAACTTTATATATCTAAATTTTATAAGCTGTAACATACTAACACTTAACAATCAACAATTTCAAGTTTAAATTGGAAATATATTTATGTAAAAGCATATGAAATGGACTTTATAAATAGAGCTGGATAAGCAATTACCACTGACATAATCTCACATTACAAAATTTTCAGCATGAAAGTCTAAATTTGTCAATATACCTTCCAACAATTCTTCCTACAAGTAATTTGAGGTTTAGTGCATTTTGCTAATGCTACTGCAGGAAGTACAAAAGGCTGGGAAAGAAATGTATCCAGATTGCCCCTTTGGTAGAAAAACCCTGCATCAGAAGCTTAATCATATTTAGGAACCATAAGCAAATGCACATTGAAGATATTAATTGAGTGACCCTTTAAAACTCACCTCAATCTTTGTTGGTAATATACTGCTGAAAAGCTGCAGCATTAACTCATAAATCATTTGTTAGAGCCTGCATTCAAGTAGATAAGTATTATGCTATGTGTGACTACTTAAGCATAAGTGTACATTAAGCATAAATAGTTAGGAATTGTCCTGGAAAACTGACCTTTGAAGATTTTTCAGATATGATCCCAGCCTTGTATAGTATATCAAAAGACACAACATTCCTTACACCATCTGCATCTTGTTTTTCATTAACAGGCTTACTTAGCACTCTTACTTGGCTTGATTTCCGTGCTCTAGATAGCCCAACATAAAGCTCCCGCCATGAGAAAAACAAGGACGCCGTAAATAAATCCCAACCTTGTTCAGAGTTTGGCCTTGAGCTTTGTTTATAGTCATGGAAAAGCTCAGCTTAATTGGGAATTATATCCGTTCAAACTTGAATGGGTAATGGCTGGAAGAGGAAGGCCTTAGGTTAGCACGTGGTAAAAATACCATTTTGCCTGAATGATGGCCTGTTGTGATCATACATAGGATAACATTTGGGTAGAATGCTTTACAAATGAGTCGAGTCCCATTACATAGGCCTGAAGCTGGAGCTATGTTCCGAAGCAAAATTACAGGACAGTTCTGTTTCAGAACCAAGGAGTGTGGGCTCATTCCTCCAGGGCATAAAGTATTTAAAAACTCAGTTGTGTAGATGTTGCAACTATCATCAATCAAAGAATCAAAGATTTTATACACTGCTGCTTCACCGGGGTGATTTTCAATAAGTAGGCTGTTGATTTCATCAACATCATCATTAAGAGGTGTTAGTATAGCGCGATCGGTGAAAATTTCTGGGCTGAAGTGACCTTTTGACAGCTCTGGGAACACCTCTTTAATAAGGTGTGGCAAGGAAACACCTTCTTCTTCAAATGGGATAAGGAGCTCTTCAGGGATTTGGATGTTTCCAGTTTCTGTTTCCTGGAGCTCACCATTTCCAAGAGCCAGCAAGAAATTAGAGAACAATGGGTCTGACCGTGCACGCATGTTCTCACTTAGCCTAATACGCGTAAAGTATTTCCATAAATGAGAAGAAACTAAACTTGCTTCCACTGCTTCTTTCTGAGATTTCTTAGGCACAATAGCCAAAACTTGCCGAAAATCTCCTCCAAAAACAACTACTTTACCGCCAAATGGTTGTTCTTCCTCACATAAATCTCTAAGCAATAGATCAAGAGATTCAATATTTTGTTTCAAAGCCATCGAAGCTTCATCCCAAATTATCAAAGAGCTCTCTTTTAATAGGTCTGCAAGGCCACTTTGCTTAGATACATTGCAAGCCATTGACACGGTGTGGTCTAGAGGAAGTTTAAAACGCGAGTGAGCTGTCCGACCCGTGACCATATTTGATGCAGCTATGCCTGATGTTGTTGTAGGAAGCACTATCTTGCCCATCTGTCTAATGGCAGCATAGAGAGCACAATAAAGGTAAGTTTTACCCGTGCCCCCAGGACCATCGATGAAAAAGACTCCCGATTCTTCACTGTTGACCTTGCTCATAATTGCAGTGAAAGCCTCATGTTGCTTGCTGTTTAACGTAGAAATTGCTTCAACATATTCATTAGGTATAGGTGTGTCTAATGCATCTGCAATATCTTTAGTCGTGGTAAGCGCTTCATCAGCAGGAACGACTAAAGACTCCAACCCAAAATCTTGTAATGTCTTGCCCATCTCTTCTAAATATCGCTCCACTTCCCGAACTGTTATTGCTTTAACTTTTTGTTCCTCACCTCTGAATGAGTAGTTGTAGTCTTCACAAAGAGCGGTGTAGTATTTATGCCATAGTGCTAAAGGATCACGCGGATTACCAAAAATAAGTAGTGTTGCAAATAGCCTTCGTAGTGCCCGTGGAATTTGTGCAGTAGCAGCTTCATCCATACACTTTTCCACAACATCATCTTCACTAAGTAAACCCAACTTAACAGTAGCTTCTTGGAATGTAGCATAGAGAAACCCATTAACAGTACGCAGGTCTTCAAATGATGTGGGACCCCTTACATGCGTTAAGAGAAGACGGAGAAAATATCTCTCCCCTTCAGATGGAGAAACAAAGGCTAATCTGCTAACGACAACACCAATAGAACGTTATGTCCATGTCTTAGAAGAAGGATGCCACACATTATGTTCGGAAAATTCAGAATACAGATATTTTGACTTGTCTGGAAATGCAGCATTCATTTTGAAAAACTCAGTTAACGATGTTCTGGCCCTTCTACTGTCAGCAACTACATCCTCTAGTTGGTCAGTAGCATTAAACCTAACAGAATGATGGTTTGGCAAGTGCACCTACAGCAACAGTACAGGCGGATGCATCTCATAAAGATCAAATGAAAAGATCCTCCAAGCAGCTTCACAAGGAGAGACCCAACGACCTGACTGAAATTGTTTAATCTCATCAACAGGTTGCCTCACGCCTGTTTCTGTTACACTGAAAGAACATCTATCATGCCCTTTGTAGACATATTTATACAAATACTTCACAGCTTGAATTGTGGAGCAAATCTCTACATTAAGATGGCAATCAAAGAGCGCTGACAAGTAAGGATTGTAGGGGATCACCCATTGGTTGTCTAGACTTCTCCCCCTAATTCGAATAGACTCACCAGTAAAGCGCATGCGGTAAGCAGGGTAACCACTATCATTGTTGGTGGTTGTGTCGTTGTATGCTTTTGGGTAACCATATTTACACTTTCCTTCAAACCTTTTCTTGTTCATGTAGGAGCAGCTAGGATCGTCCTTACCACAAGGGCCATGCATCATATGGCGAAGAACAATTTTACGCAAGTGAGGGTTGTCATTGCTAGGAATCTCAGCACAAGTAAACTTGTCATACAAGGCTGGTTCCTTGATTTTATACCCTTGTTTCAGTATAATCAGCATATGTACATGTGGAAGGCCACGCTTCTGAAACTCCACAACATAAATGAAAGTGGCCACTTCACCAAAGACATTTTCTTCTGTAATCTTCTTTTTCAGTGCAATAAGTTTTGCCCTGAAAACACGCGCAACTAAATCAGGCCGGTCTTGAGCCTTTCACCGGGAGCAAGTTCTGCTTTAATTTCTGGCCAGTTGGGATTGCAAGTCATAGTCACAAAGAGGTCAGGCTTGCCAAACCTTTGCGCAAGAGTAACTGCATTAAGGTACCTCCTGCTCAAATCCCTAGGACACCCAAGGAATGTGGGGGGCAATATAACTGAGTGCCCAACATTAGAAGCATTTGTTTCTCCACCATCAAATGTATCAACAAGACCTTGATATAATTCAACCCTTATTTTTTTTTTGTTTTTCCAGAAAAAATCCAAGCGCGTATTTTCAATCTTCACATACATGTCCACAATGAATTGCAAAAACAGTCGTCCTGCTCTTAGCAGATAATTACCAATTCGTATTTGGAAACGATAGGCATAATACTCCCTAGCAGAAATAAACCTACCCCGTTTGCCATTAGTAGCAGCTGAGACAACAATATGCAACAAAAAATTAACTATATCACCCATCTAATTGGTTAGAAATTTTATTGGCAATGTATGTATATTAGCTATGCATGCAACAAAGAATACTAACAATCTTACATGGATCATCTCCTTGCAGCAATGCAGCAGCAGCAACATCATCATCCCCATCTGCAGCGACTGTGGCTACAAAGCTCTGATCATGAATCTGCCCACAAGAAGACATTTTTAGAAGGCCTTGGTGCCAACCACAATCACCACGAGGGAATAATAAAGGGTACTGCAGAGGGTCATAGCAGCCATAGTAATGCATTATACGGTGGCTCTCAGTAGATTTCCCGTACACTGTGATGTGAGGAGTACTTTGTTCATGGGATGCACTGGCATCAGTCCATATAGCAGCCACCTCGTCAGATGTCGGAGCATTGTACACCCGCTGATCCAAAGTAGGGTTTTTGTTGAGGGTAATCACAGTTTCAGCTGAGACATTAATATCCCTCAAAGATTTAAAAAATCTGGCATAAGGGTTATGCGACATAACTTCCATCAGTATTGCAATAACATCTGCCTGGAGCTCTGGGAAGAGGTCAAGTCGGTGCTTAGCCTCATGCTGAGAATCATAAAAGTAAAGTTGAAGGAACTGTGGCTGGGTGCCATCAGGTAACAAGTCAGGCACAAAATGGTATAGCTGCCCATGTAATTTAAAAGCATATACACCTTTTTTGACTGTGATTCCAATGCACCCCCCAAAGAACTGAAAGAAAGCATATTATTATATAAACGCGCATATGTTTGAAAATGGTCAGCGATTTCATCTTTTGCAGTGAACAGTCTAATAATCTCAGGAGGAAGCTGATTATAAACAATCACACACTCCCCACCACTACAGCAAAATTTGGGGGGTTCATAGGCAAATTTTTTTGCCAAGCATTTGTCACATAAATAAGGAGCTGCCAATTCCAAAGGAGCTGTTGGCATTTGGTGGCCAACATCCCATGCATCTCCAACTACATATTTATAACCATGCCTTAGTTTACAGTTTGGACAACATGTATAATAAAGCAATTAAATATAGCAAATTAAACACCACACTACCTGGCCCTATAGGTTTAGGCTTCCTTTGTTTCTTTTTTTTGGGCTCTCCAATAATTCCTCGTATGCGTTTACTTGTTCGAGTTTTAGTTTTAGAAGATGAAGGGTAATCAGGGTAGTCTGTAGCAAGCGAAGGTAACATATGATATAAGGTAAAATCCTAACATATTCAATGTACAACTATATAATAGGCTATGAAGACGATACCCACAGATGGCCGACACTGATAAAAATCTAGAAATCAGTATACTCCTGCCATGTATAGATAGTAAACGCCATCAATACATATACACAATAAAAAGCCAAGCCTCCTAAGCTCACACTGTGATAAATGGTAAAAATAACAGTGTATAGATGCAAAACAGTGAAACAAACTTTAAAACTGAGAAATTGTAGATTTCATTGCTCTTTAAAAGTCATTATCCAAAATAGCAATTACATAGACAATGCTTAAGCTAAAGAAAAATACATGGCCATCAAATTCAGAGTACAACAAACACAACATCACAAAGTCAACTGAGCACTATAGCTCTTAGGTTTACAAAACAACAATACTAAACAGACCATGAACAAACACAGATTCGAAATTTGACCTATCATCTATAAACAAACCACCCAATAACTAATTCCTTTTCCTACGCTTAAAAACAGCCTCCAAGTCTGATGGGACCCTAACAAAGTTAAGTGCAGGAGGCTGATTAGATGCACCTGTCCTCTTGAAAGTAGGACGAGCTCTACGCTTACGAGGAGTATTAGGTGGTAGGCTTGCACTTGGGATCTTGTTACAGAGGGATCTTGGTGTGCTGCATTCATGCTCGTCTAGAAAAGGCGCCAAGTGAAGTGTTCCTTGCACGCCAAGCACACGTTCCTGAGCAGACATGTAACTCTCTCGGGCCAATGAACACTTAATGCCAGCATATTTTTCATGGCCATAGTTCAGATCAATTATTTCTATCCTATACCTGCACTGGAGGAAAGAAACAACCTTCACAACAGCATTTTGTCTAACAGCTGCCTCACCAACACATATGTCACTATTTATACACTCCATGTTAACTGTTTCTCCAGGGCAATACACCGTAAGCCATGCCACATACCCCTGCAGTGCAAGCTCAGAGGACTCAGTAGTTGAGACTCGTGCACAAGTCTCTACAGTCAGCACATGCAGCACATCCAAGTAGTCAATAAAGACATCCTTGGCACCTGCCTTCTCAGGGAAAGCACTAAGCCAATTAACAGGTGGTTTCTGAAGCAGCCGTTCCTTAGACTCCAATGCATCATGCTTCTGCTGGAACAGTACCTCGCAACGCTTGTACATCCAAATCTTAGTACTCGTCCAATCATGAATACAGAGGTCAAACTCTAGCCTCAAAGTGTCTGACAGCATCCTTTGCCGCTTTTTCAGATGAAGCCTCCAACTTTTCACCCTCACCACCATCAAAAGTGTAGGTGTGTGAAAATCCAAGGTCTGTCGTTTCCACATGCAACTTCACATGATTCTTATGAATGTCCACTAATTCATAAACAGGAGGTGGAAACTGCAGGTGATCCATAACCTGCCTTAACAAGCAACAGTACGAAATAGAGACCTTGCGAGACTCTAGCTCCATGACCTGTGTGCATGCCCAACGGATCAAAAAATTAACATCGTTCCTATTCACTAATTCCACAACATAACCTACCTCATTCCAATCAATCCTATCCTAAACTAAAACAAGCAAAGCCCTCTTAGAAACATACACTAAAACTACCAGTCAGCCTAAAAAAGAAAGCACACACCATTAAAAAGGACCACAATCTAACAGGCACTTACTCCATAATGAAACAGAATTTGGTATCACTATCACACATTTAAATTAATATCTTTATCTAAACAGAGCACAATAGTGAAATACAACATATATCACATACCAAGCACATATTACAACCAAAAAAACTACTATAGGATGTATAAGCAATAGTAAAGAAAACAAGAAATAGTAAACAAAAGCAATAGTAAAGAAAACAAGCAATAGTAAACAAAAGCAAATAGCATAAAGATCAGAAAAGCAATACCAATAATTCTGGGCAGCAGATGTAAAACAAGACCCCAACACCAGCCAACAAAGAGCAAACAGGACCCCAACACCAGCCTGCACAAACCATCACATTACAATCAATGATCTAGCCAATTAATATATTATAACTCATTAGCCAATTATACAAAACAACCATATCAAAACCAATATAATATAAACAACAAAAATTGGAAATTAGAACTTGTGTAAGAGCATAATTAAATATAGTGCATGTAGCTCTAACATCCATAATTTGTATAACTAAGATTGCTACACAATTAAACAACCTAAATATAAAGTAAATTGTCATAGGAAGCAAGTGTAGATATATTTAGTTTGAATTGGCAATCCAAGTAAGTCCAATACAAGGCCATAAGAATATATCACATTTTCTGATTTTCTGATTAGTGTAAATTGCTCAATATATGCATTCAACAAGAACAAGGAAAACTAAAATGATTATACGAGCAAGATATTACCACCAAGAGTTCTTGCTGGTTTCTACCTTTTTTTTTTTTGGATTTTGGATTGGATTTGGATATGATTTGGAATTTGGATTAGGACCTAAAGTGATAAATATATAGATAGATAGAAAAGAAGTCAATGTCATTTTCATTGATTTCTATATAAGCTCAACATAAGCCTTGAGAACACCAGCAATTTTAAGCAAAGCAAGCAAAAACTACAAAGGGACAAGTTTTAATTAAATGAATTATAACTATAATAATTATTATAATATAAGGTATGTAGTAATCTAAATTCAATGCTTATATATACAATTTACTATATCAGTGTATAAAGGGCAAACATATGAACAAGTTGTTAATCTAAATCCAAAGCTTATATATACAATTTACCCTATACTGATGATAAAATGAATTATAATAGAGACAAGTTTTAATTAAGGTATGAAATCAGAAAATTTGAGTCAAATACAAAACAAATTTTACTATATCAGTGTATAAAGGGAAAACATATATAATCTAAAAATCCACTGCTTATAATGATGAACTGCTTATAATGAGGGAAAACATTACCTTCTGATAATGATGAACTGGTAAGTATTTTGACATCTTGTAGCCATTGATGAAAAGCTGCGATTTTGCTTTATGAATTGCAGAAGGTGAGGAAGCCGGTGAAACCACATAGAAAGTCGACACATAGTGTTGTGTCAACTTCATCATACAGAGTTCAAGAGAAGAAGCAAAAATCTAGAAAAGAAAATTGGAGTGAAAAAAGGGAGAAAAAATTAAGGAAACAAATTGGAGGAAAAAAACGGGAAGGTGCATTCAGAGGAGAAGATTGCATGTCTCCATGAATCACCAAAGAAGAAAGGTTGAAGGTGACAGAGGGAAAAAGAGAAAGAAGACACATGTCCCCTCCAAGGTGCCACATAGGCAAGGCTAAAACTAACACTGCCAAATCAAAATAGACAAAGTAAGAAAAAAAAAAACAAAACAAAACAAAAGCAATCACACATGCCACTCACACATGACACTCACACATGTGAGCACTATTCATAAGGGAACAAGTGAAACATTTTAAGGGTTGTAGATACATTTTCCTCCTTTAATTTCTTGTTGTCATCTTTCTCCATTATGTCTCCGTAGTATTTCGAATAGTTGATCGATCTCTTAAAACCTTTTTAGGGAATGATATCTTGAAACTTAAATGCACCTTTTATTGAATATTATACTGCATGTTAGTGCTATTGCCTATTGGTGAGAAATTGCTAAGTGCAATAATTTTTTTTTTACAAAAAACTGAAAAATAGTGAAGTAATTTTAATTTAAATACATAGGAAAGCTTAGACAAGCTAATTTGACAATTAAGTTGCCCTTGGAGAGTTGGAGATGTTCTTGTACATAAGTCATGAAATACAATTATATTTTTCTTACTTTTATTTGCATGACTAATAATGTAAAAAGAAGTATAAAAAGAAAGGTACTAGCATATATTTCGTATATGAAAAAAGTATGTGTTGTTGACTTGTTGGCATAAACCATTAATATAAATCCATATAATTAATTATACCATGTTAATTAGTGCATGTATATCTGCACTTAGGGGTGTACATCGGTCCAAAACTGGACCAGACCTGGACCGGACCTGTTTGGACCGGGGACCTGAATTGGGTAATTATGAGGACCGGGACCGGACCTGAATTAACAGGTCCGGTTCCGGGCCAGACCTGAAAAATCAATTACAAAACTACATAAAGTCTATAAAGTCCCGATTCTCAAACACCAAAAATACAAATGAGTCCACCGAAAATACAAATAAGTCCACGAAAACTCAGTTTCAATTTTTCAAAGTTTGGTTTTCTTCTTTTTTTTTTTTTTTTTTAATTACGATTTTCCCGGGTTTCAGGTCCGGACCTGAAAACCCCGGGTTTGGACCGGGTCCGGACCGGGACCGGGAACCTGGATTTTTAAGAACCGGGACCGGACCTGAATCAACAGGTCCGGGTCAGGTCCGGTCCGGTTCAGGTCGGTTCAGGTCCGGTTTCAGGTCCGGGCCAATTTTTGTACACCCCTATCTGCACTAATTAATATAATTGTATTAATTTGACTATAAGCATTTTTTTTTTTTTGACGAGACTATAAGCTTGATACTTTGATAGTATGAATCATCTAGGAAAAGAAATGGAGTGAAAACAAATAAGAAAAGGCAAGGGTAATGTTAAGTGGATGTTACCAATAGTTGTTTGATACACATTAGAAATGGATTAAAATTCCATTTTCACTCCTTAAAATTCATTATACCAAACGTGTTCGTTCTTCGTGAGATATTAATTAAATTAGTCTAGTAATAAGAACGATAATCAAGCAATCAAATTTAATTAATATCTCTAGGCTCATTAGTTCCACACTTATAATAGAATTAAAATTGATCTAATCTACGGAATTTAATTATAAATAAATCAATTAATATAGGATTGAACACATTTCAAAACCTAATGATAATGAAAGCTCATGATAAGATGATGGTTTCTATTTTTATTTAGGAAAATGTTATACATAGCCCTTAGGGCTACATTTATTTATTTTAAAAGGCAAATCACTAGTACAACAATGTTTTTTTTTGAGGGAACCGTAGAATGAGCTTTCATTCACAATCACTCCAACTATTTAGTTTGATAATTTTGTACACAGCTTGATCTTATTCACGCATTTATAATTAAGAAGTATTTTCGCTGATCATAATCGTGTTTTAAGGTGTCTCATTAATATCTTAAAGGTATACAACCTAAAAAGCCCTTTAGTCAAACTAGATTTATTCACAAGTTTTTTTTCTTTTTTCAATTCGTTATTAATTACGTACTACATTACATTGTATCGTACCTTAATTAGATAAAACTTCATTTTTTTTGTGCATGTGTTTTACAAGGCATTATTGAAGATGAAGGTTCTCAGAGCTTCCTGGAGCATTTGGGTTGCCAGCTCAGCAAGAATCAGTTATAACAAACTAAAGTTTATTATAACAACTTTACAGTCAGCATTATTATTTCATTTATTTTTCTTAGTTTCCAGCTGTATTAGGACAGTGGTATTTAATGTTTCTCAGCTGTACATTTTTAATTCATTCAATACATTTCAATAAAGATACTCTTCTTTCTCTCTCTTAATTCTCTCTCTGTAAATTCTTGAGCTGCTTTCCTCCATTAATGAAGATGAATAAAATCGGTTAAGGTGTTCTGTTCTGTTCCTCTTAGATTTGAATCAGTTTTAGTTTGCTTGTTTTGACAGCATTAATATTATTAGAGTTGGTAAAGGTGGCATGATACGATAACATGATATTAACAAGACACGAAAAAATAATAGGGTTAGTTTTTAACACGTTTAATTAAATGGGTCAACACGATATGACAAGTTAACTTAAATAAGGCAAATAAAAAGGAACAGTTAGTGTTTATATTCATTTCCAACATGATATTAACACAACCCAACCAATCTAAGAAGGCTAATAATTTTTCATATAAAACGACAACACAATACAAAGTAAACATAGAAAAAAGTATTAGTGTTCAATTAAACGAGAAAACACGACATGACACATTTGTTATATGGGTCGAGTACGTGGTGATGAGGAGGCCGGCTAGGTGGTGACGTAGGAGTGATGAAGTGGTGATTATGGAGGAGTGGTGGTGGTGAACAAGGTGGTGAGGTGGAAGGAGAGAGACATTTACGGTGTGTTTGGATTGAAGGAAATGGAGGGAATTAAAAGGAAGGGAACGAAGGCAAATGGAGAGATTGAGTTT